CGAAGCCGAACGACTAGGGGTTAGGGTTTGGGGTTTAGGGTTAAGGATTTCGGGTTCAGCGTGTTATTAGCGGTTTAGGCATAGCATTCTGGCTCAGGTGCGGTGCGGGCCTTCTTGAGGCTTGCGCATTGCCCACGAAAAAGCCCATTCGAATCAAATAGACCCCTGCAATGCCCTAAACACTAAACCCTAAACCCCAAACCCTAAGGGTCGGTTGGGGGTTTGACACAGCTTGGCAAACCCGGGCCCCTTGCTCTTTTTGTCCTCCTTCTCCTTGTCGCTGTCGGAGCTGTCCTCTCGTTTAACTAGGGTTTAGTCTTTAGGGTTTAGGGTTTAGGGTTTAGCGCTTAGGGTTCAGGATACAAAGCTTTGCGAGCCTCTGACGCCCCAAAGCCCGCAACCTTAGGTTTAGGGTTTAGGGTTTGGGCTGCAAGCTCGCAAGAAACAACAGAAACGACTTCATCCTCATTCGAGCATTGCTTCGTGTGGGCTGTGCGACCCTGTAAGGGTGCAATCAACCGACACCATCGCTCTCCTTCTTCTCTTCCTGCTTCTCCTCATCACCTGAGTTTCAGTGTTGCACCGGAACCCTGAATCTTGAAGCATAATGGGAATCATCCCCCACATGCGCGGAGGACGCCCACGAAAGCCGCCTGAACCCACTTCTAGCCCTATTTCAGGCTCAGGGGTTCGGGGTTCAGGGCTTAGGGCTTGACCCCTCTCTCAGAGCCCTTCTCCCCCTAAACCCTAAACCCTAAACCCTAAACCCTAAACCCCCCCAGAGCAGATCGTAGAAATGATGCCAGGTGGCTGCTGTCCTTCTTCGCTTTCGCAGCTTGCTTCTTCCTGTTGCTGTCCTCAAGCGAACTTCTCAGAAAGTGTTCCGAGCATAAAGCTTACGCTAGAAAGGGCCTACTTGTAGACCCTTGGCACCGGAGCTCGTTTAGGGTTTAGGGTTTAGGGTTTAGGGTTTAGGGTTTAGGGTTTAGGGTTTAGGGTTTGGGGTTTGGGGTTTGGGGTTTAGGGTTTAGGGTTTGGGGTTTAGGGTTTAGGGTTTAGGGTTGATGACCAGAATGCAGACCCAAGAGACACCATGTGTTTAGAGCAACCCCCTTCCCCTTTTCCACACACCTCATACAGGAGACTACCCCTAAACCCTAAACCCTAAACCGGCCCATAGAACTACCCCTCGAAAATCAGCAGTCCCCCCAATATTTTTTCCAAACTGTGCCCTTCAGAAGCCCTGCAATGATGCGTGTTCGATTCCGGGGCGTGGGTTCTTGGGTTCAGGGTTTCGGGTTGGAGTTTAGGGTCTAGGGTCTAGGGTTTAGGTTTTCGGGTTTAGGGTTTACGGCTTAGGGTTTAGGGTTTAGGGTTTCCAGCTCTAGGGGGTTCTCTAAGAGCTATAGCGGGCGTGTATGCTAGGAGGTACCCTCTCTTGCTTAATCTGCCTCCTTGTTGGGGTTATATTAAAAAAGATCATTGTTATTCCTTATTGGGAGTTTGATATGACAACAATGTCAACATATAAGCAACCAGGACCCGACCCAGTCATTGCGTGCTTTACACGGACCCTAAACGTCAAAAGGTGAGCAATGGTGCTTCTTGGATCTTCTCCCTACTTTGGGGGTAGACCCTTGAAAAAAAGGTATATACATTATAGGTATAAGTAGCTATAGTGGGAACCCAGAACCAAAAAAGAAGTGGTCAAGTATAGGACTCCACAACCCTGTTCTTGGCATGCTAGGAGGGGAGACACTGCTGCCGAAGGGGCCGAGCTGTCAGACGACGACTTGCGCTGGCGCCTGCAGAGTAATCGGTGGGGGAGTGTGGAGGTTGGGGTTTCGGCCCCATGACGCATAATATAGGGGTCGGAATAATCGCTTTAAAAAAAAATTCCCCTATGGTCCCTTTGTAATTATACTCTAGTAACCCCCAAAACCCTATTCTAATTCTTCAGGCCCCCTATATTCGTCTGTGGGATTCAGTCAAACACTCACCATTCTTGAGGCTTCAAACCTCAAAGTCCTCCGGAACCCGGCCTGATGGAAGCCTGCTACAAGCACAACGATTTCGGGCTGTGCTGAAAACTAGTCTTCCGCGGAAGACCCGAGGGACCCTAAACCCTAAACCCTTAACTGCCAAACAGGGTGTTGGGCTGCTTCGGCCGCATCCGAGGGTTGAGGGCGTGGCTGGGAGGGTAGGGTGGGGGGGGGGGGCTCTCAGCTTTCGTGCACAGGTTTTGGCCCAATGTTCTCTGGGTGCGAGTAGGTAAGCCCTCGACTCCGAAACACAAGTGTCTGTCGGTGCCGACTATTCCGCAGGGGGGAGGATGGAGTCCTGAACTTGGTTGCATAGATTTAATTTTCGCTGCCTTATTAAGAAACCCAATAAACCCAAGAAGGCTAAGGATCTAAAGCTACAGTAAGGCACCAAAGAGTAAACTCTGAGGCTGGAACCCTAAACCCCAAACCCCAAAACCCTATTCTTGGGGGGGGGGGGGGAGGAAAAGGTCCTAACCTCTCTGAGGCTGGAACTTCATGCTCCTGGACCGGTTCCGCGAAGCCTGAGAAGAAGGCTCGAAAAAACAGGGTCTGGGAGCTGTCCAAGCATACAGGACGTGAACCCTAAACCCTCAACCCTAAACCCAAAACCCTAAATCCAAACCCTAAACCCCAAACCCTAGGCCCTAAACCCTAAACCCTAAGCCCCTTGGTAGAGTGCCTTCTTCGCTGGCGGCGAGGAGGACTTGGACTTGTCGCCTGAGGAAGCTGCCCCCTAAAGGTGCACTCAGGGGAGGTGGGCTGCCAGGCAGCTCTCTAAATTCCTGCCATTTGCTTAAGAACCCCAAAGAATAAAAGATAATAATCCTTACATGGCCCTTATAAGGAAGAATCTTTTCTATGTGGGAGGGTTCTTACGCAACAAGTAGATGATGGTCCCTCTCCTAAAACTGAAATTTTAAGAGGCTCCGCGATATGCCGGGAACCCTATAGGGTTTAGCGTTTAGGGTTTAGGGTTTAGGGTTTGGGGTTTAGGGTTTAGGGTTTAGGGTTTAGGGCCTCCTGTGGAAGTGCTGAGCTCCCGTTCTTGGGAGGAGTCTGGATCTGCTCTGATCGTAGACATGAAGCAGGAGTTTCCGAAGACTGACCATAGGGTTTAGGGTTTAGGGTTTAGGATTTAGGGTTTAGGGTTTAGGGTTTTGGGTTTTGTGTTTAGGGTTTAGGGCTACAGCAAGAGCAAGGCGAGATCCCAGCTCTTCTTGTCTTCCTTTTCTTTGTCGCTGTCGGAACTGTCCTGCGATGCAAGGCATGCTGCAGACAATTCAGGCCTGCAACTACTATTTGCTTAAGAACCCCAGAAAATAAAAGATAATCATCCCTATATTCCCCCCTCTCAGGAAGAATGCTTTGTATGTTTGAGGAGGGTTCTTCATCTGGGGGCCCTTAAACGGGCTCCCCTTATATACCCCTTATACACCCGATACAAATTAAGGAAATGGTGCCCCTGGTATACCCCCTAATATACCCTAGGGTACCTAGTTGTGGCCTGAATATATGGTAATCCTTCTATTTGTGGGTCTATGTTAGGGGTCCCGTGTTGTCGTAAACCCCCATATTAAGGGCCCATGGAACTACCCTTGGACTTAAGCAAAGTAGGTAACTAGGACCCCAGGGTCATGACAGATAATAACCCTGCATTCCCCCTATAAGGAAGAATGTTTTTGATTTTTTGTTTTGTTTTTTTTTTTTTTTTTTTTTTGGGGGGGGGGGGGTTGTTTTAAAGGGATTATAAGGGAACCCCAGCCTTTCAAAAAAAATAAGGGCCTACTCTGGGTCCTCGGTGCTGTAGGAGCCTTAATAATTCGAACAGGGTTTTGGGGGTCATTATAGTATAAAGACAGAGGGACCATAGAGGAATACTATTAGTAACTGTTCCGACCCTAAACCCTAAACCCTGAACCCTTAACCCTAGACCCTAAACCCTCAACCCTAAACCCAAAACCCAAAACCCGAAACCCCAAACCACAAACCCTAAACCCCAAACCCCAAACCCCAAACCCGAAACCCTAAACCCTAAACCCTAAACCCTAAACCCTAAACCCTAAACCCTAAACCCTAAACCCTAAACCCTAAACCCTAAACCCTAAACCCTAAACCCTAAACCCTAAAGCAAGCAGGAGGCAACTAGGACAGGTCCTTGTCTGGTTTCGGCGCAACCTCCGAGTCGCTGTCGCTGTCTGCCTGGAAGGAGGAGGCAAAGGTGTCCCCCAAGTGTAGAGGGGCTTCCGTAGCCCTAAACCCTAAACCCTAAACCCTAAACCCTAAACCCTAAACCCTAAACCCTAAACCCTAAACCCTAATCAATGAGGGCTCAGACTTCTGGTTCCCAATCGTTTGCAGATGACATGAGGCCTCAACAGCTCCGGGTCAGGGGACTATACTGCAGAGTCTTAGGGCTTAGGGCTTAGGGCTTAGGGCTTATAGGGCTTAGGGCTTATAGGGCTTAGGGTTTAGGGTTTAGGGCTTAGGGTTTAGGGCTTCGAGAGGAGCAGCTCGGCGGGTCGGGTCGCGAGATGTTTTACGACGCTGCAAGGCAGGCGCTGGAGAAACCATAATATGGTTTGCATTATAAAGTTCGGTGAGGAAGGAGCGACGTGCCCTTGGCTGAGACGACGACAGCAAGACCCAATGACAAGTCCAGGTAGCAGCCAAGCGAACTCTGCCGCATGACCGCAAAAAAAATCCAAGACTAGGCCACAAAGGGGCTTTACAGGGCTCTTTTGTACATGGAAACACATGGAACATGCGGGCCAGAACGGGCTCAATCCGTCAGACCTCGACATGGGCTGGAAAGCGGTGCTGCCCCAGACGGCTTTTAGCCATGGTCTGGCAGCGGAAGACGACAATGAAACCAAGCTGAAATTGCTCCAGCAAGGCATGGCTTCAGACCTCGTTTGAGAGTCTTGCTCGGATGGCTCAGAAGCTAAGAAGTCACTCCTAAGTCCGTTGCAACGGCCGCACACTGCACTGCCCTGCATCTGCGCGAGCTACGTTCATGCTTGCCCCAGCCGTGGTCGGATGCGCCGACATATCCGGCACGTTGCCTTCAGCCCAGGCCTCCCCAAAGCGTGCCTGGCGGCGTCTCGCCACCTGCACCTGGAAGGCGTGCGGACTCTTGGCGACATTGATGAGGTAGCTGTTCAGCTGCCGGACGTAGAGATGGTGGGTGGAGCTGTCTGGCTCGAAGCTCTTGGGAGGTGTTGGAAAGGTCTTCGGCACGTAGAACACCGAGGTATCGCTGGCTGCTTCCACGGTATGGCTACAGCTCCCACTACACCCCATGGCAAGGAAGCGACCTAGCAATGGAGATCTATAAAGGCCCCCGGAAGTACCGGAGGTTCGGGGAGCTTTTTGAGGCAGGCTGCTGAGACCCTCAGATGTCAGATGACAGGGCGTCGGCACACGGAAAGGCTCCCCTGTCACTGCCGGCAATTGAAACAGCAACCTTCCCAAATCCGTGAAAGAATCTCGATTGGGGCTTAGGGATCCATAAAGAATCCCTGGTTTCTCAGGTAGGTAAGGAGTTATACTGTACCCTTTAAGAGATTCCGCCTTCCCTACTAAGAACCAGTAGAATACTAGTGCAAGTCATGCGGTTGCTTTCTACTTCTCACAGCTTCAAGGCCTTCAGGGGGCCTGGGCATTTGGGAATTCGGGTCTGCAGGGGTTTTTCGGAGGGCTTGTGGGTCTATGGGTGTCTTATCACGTTTACAGCTGTATAGGATGTCCAGGGTTTGTAGGGTATATCGGGTTTACAGAGCCCTAAACCCTAAACCCTATAGAAACCCGAAACCCTAAACCCTAAACCCCGTCCTTTTTCGGCGCCGGCTTCTCATCATCACCTGAGAGTTGGTTCTGATAACTCTTGCGTTTTGTCCTTGGACACGACGTGACTCATGATACGGTTTTTGGTTTAGGGTTTAGGGTTCTGGGTGGAACATGCAAGAAGGGCACAAGAGCCACAGTGCAAAAGAACAGGACGCCCATGCTCATATCTGATGCCGAGTGGAGGTCTTTCAAGTATGCAAAGCATGCACCCCTAAACCCTTCAAACCCTAAACCCTAAACCCTAAACCCTAAACCCTAAACCCTAAACCCTAAACCCTAAACCCTAAACCCTAAACCCTAAACCCTAAACCCTAAACCCTAAACCCTAAACCCTAAAC